GCTTAGATCTGGCCCGCTGATCTTCAAACCACTGCTGGACCGCACGAACACCTGCAAGAACTCTAACGCCGGAGGGGTTCCCGGCGTAGAGCCTCCGACGCTCAAGTCAGTATGTGAGAGAGATATAGAGGGCTGCTATGAGAGCAGCAGCAGTAATAGAAAATGTATGGAATGAATGGGAGTTAGGGTTTTGGGATTACCTCAGCCCTTTATATAGGAGTACAATATATACCTGAAGTCCCCAAAATGCCCCGGCCGACTTAATGGAAATGTCCGGAATACCCCGGTCGGTTCATATTCCGCTTACTTCCCAGTCAGCATCTAGATCCTTCCTGAACTTTCTTCTTATCCCTAATTCTTCTTCAATATACTAAGATGTGTCGAAGCTATCGGGCGGCACGAGCTATGACTTCCTCAATCGACCTGCGATATCATGTCGAGTCGACTAGGTCACGCTCAACTGTTAGTAGACCCTGATATGCCTGACGGTTAACTTACCAGAAGTCGACTTACTCCAGTCGACAGGTATATGTTGACTTGGTCGGGAACTGGGCTTTTTGACTGAATATCATGGAACCTTACTGATAGAGTCGACTTTGCTGAAGTCGACTCGGTGATCTTAGACCGCGACGATACGAACCGTTATGAGCCAACCGCGGCAACGCCACAGTTATTGAACCGGTGCACGACAGTGTGGCTATATCAGACTTGATAAATTACCTTAATTTTGTGCACCCCGTGCATCGCACGGGATCTGTACTAGTAGTATCTAAACATCCTTCTTTCTGGTTTTGATTGCACAAGACCCCAGCTATTAGCCTATTTGTCATCATAAATGCAAGTAAAATCGATCTCATACCAGATAGAATTGCAGCATAAACTGCCAGTTTTGCAAACTTACACACAATGTTACAAATTTATTTTTTTTTAATTAATCTTGATCGCCTTATCCAAACGATCCACAACATTACCACATACCATTTTGCAAAATCAAACACGCTTTCATAGAAAACAGAAACCAACCGGTTGAAATCACTGATGATCAGATAAAAACACATATATTCCATTAAATATGATATTCTACTTTTGATCAGAAAAACGATTCCATAAGGGCGGGTACAAGTGCCACTGAAACAGCAAAACTTGAGGAACAGTGAACACAACACTAGGGAGTTCATGAATCATAATCAAGTCTAAATACTCTACAGAACTAAAGGAACATTCGATTGTCGAATGCTGACATCAGTACTTAATTCATAATAAGACCTCAGGTCAATCTTTCAACAATCTGAAAGAATAGCAAGTTTACATGCACTGGATCCTCGCTCAAGCAATGGAATTCTATCGAACACTTGGAATTTCGTTTCCAAATCAAGGCATCTAAAAGGTGAGGTAAATATTTCCATCCTCTCCAATACTCGAGAATTTCTCAAAAGATATCTTACCATGTCAAACTCAGGCTCACTGAATTGCATCCACCTAATTGTTATACTTCTTAGACATGATAATAGGCATTTAGGTACTTGTTCGGGCTCCGGACAGAAATATTCCTCTTCAAAATCATCGTGCCGACACTAAAAGGAGCATAACAAAAGAAGGCGCTATTGCTGTAAGAAGCACGAGAAACGGCTAAAGACAAATTTAATTGAAGTTCAAGATTATCAGCAATTTCAAGTAACTTTACAAGCAAACTCCATTTGAAGTTCAATCGGACTTCAAGTTTGGTTAAATTATCGAACTTTACATTTGAACAAGTAAGTCCTCTACGAACAAACTGAAAAATTTAAAGCCACATTACGGATATATATAACAACAAAGCCGAAAACTAAATGACACGAGGACTAAGAGATTGAAGAATGAAAACTTACCTCCTGACCTGATTTCTTAAGGCACTTTACATAAGACAGAGAATGAAGAAACTTCACCACCGTGGAATTGTATTAAGTTTTGGGATTTGAGAAGCCATATTTTTTTAACCAGATATCCACCTCAGCTAATGAGATCATTGTTATAGGAATTGTTATACACTCCAAGTCATAGCCATACAATTGGAGATACCTAAGGGCCGGGGCATTTATTATCATCGTATATCCAAGGCGAGATGGACAGTAGAAATGGTCATAACAGAGCTTAAGCATCTTTATCGTGGGTGATGATATATTTATGCAGCCCACATAATCATCTTTCACCACAAATTTGAATTCCATAATCAACTCCTCGAGACGGACAGTTAGAAAGAAAGTGAGGAAGCGCATCATCATTCTCACACACAACATTAGAAACATGTAACTTCTTGAGGCTAGGCAGAGAGACATTGTCCATAGCAGAGAGTGACACTCTTCTAATATCAAGCTTCAAGTCTACAATGGTTTTGCTGATGAAGTTGGATCGAGGGATTGTATTGAATTTAAGTTCAAGATAAAGATTCCGGATACTACAGTCGATGGCGATCGTAATCCATGTCTCCAGTTGATACTCGTTGCAGCGGAGGTCACAGAGTGTTAAAGTATCCATTCTGTTTTTCGCCTTCTGCTGCAATACAAACCTGTGGATGATATCCAAAGCTTCTGTTCCTTCTTCCCTGAAATAGAAATCGCATCCACTGAAGTTCACACTGGGTACATGGGCCCATAGAAACCTCCATCTTCTTCCGAGAACGCTGGTCGTCACCGAGCGTTTAGTCGGGAGGAAAGAGAGAATGTGGCATATGACTTCGTCCGGCAAGCTGCTCAGCCTATCAATCAAGGTTATGTTTTGCTCTCTATCTGAAAGCTTCTGGCAGTTTACACTTGGTTGTCTGGTTTCCTCCATGGAAATTCTGACAAAGGGCACCTGATTTGCACAACTACAAACAAAGGCAGTAACATTCAGAGGGTACCATGATTCAGATATTGTCTGTCTCATGGGTAGTTAAAATCTAAGTCTAATGTGAAGAAGAAGAAGAAGAAGAAGAAGAAGATGTGACAGATCATCATTTCCATAAAATCTTGTTATCTCCATTGATTTTCTCTTGGACATTTCGATAAACAGTTGTCTGGCAAATCATTTCATCAAAACTGTGTGTTGTTTAAAACTGTGTGTGTACAGATATATAAGAACAAAAAACGAAAACGAATAACCACAAAACGGCGGAGATAAAATATAGACAACTGAGTCGACGAGATAACAGGTTGAAATTTCGAACTCGACGATATTGCATTACATAAATTTAAAAATTATCTAAGCTTACTGTCGGATATTGAGAGATCAACTATAGATCATAAGATACCTTTAGATCATAAGATACCTTTAGATCATAAGATCTTTTTCATTGTAATTCAACGGACACATCTCAATTGACATTTCGGAAAACTTCATTGTTATATTTCCTGCTAAAAGCTTTGTAGCATGAACTTAATAGTTTTTAGGGCCTTGTTTAAAAATGTAAAATTACAAAATTTAACAGAATAACATATCTAACATAAAGTTTCTAAAAGTAATCATACACACATGATTTATCCAACAACTATTTACAAACAGTTAATACAATTCTGCTAGTCAAATCAATAAGTGTAATTCAACAATTACAATTCTCAACAATTGCAATTCACTATATGTTAATCTCTAATACAATTAGTTATCCGCTATAAGCTTTACTCATACGACACCAATATACTTTCAAGTAATCTCTGATTTTTCTCTCATATTCGAGCTTGTCGTGGAGCAACCGAGTGACACAATGCCTAATAACATCAATATAAGATTTTTTTTTTTTTTCAAAACGATAGGATTCTCATTACACAATAAAGATACAATGTTCAAATATACATCCCATAATGGTACAATGCCAAACTACAACTACAATAATAACCGCCTCTGATGGGAGACCCAACAAGTAAGGTCTAAAGAGCATAAAATCTAACTAAGGCAGCTCTGGGCTGTGATCCTTAGATAGGAAAGAAAATGAACTAATGAAGAGATTAAAAAACTGTCCATGGACCTAGTTTAATCCTTCATCAGAAATAATGTACTGTCTAAGAAACTGAACAATATTCCTGCCATTCACGGGTAGCTAGCTGAATCAGAGTGTGCTCCGGGAGGTGAAGACCTTGGAAAACCCATAAGTTTCGTGATTTCCACAACCACCACAATATGTACGTCGATAGTTGGATACGGCTTTCATCAATCTCTTTAGTACTTGTTGAACATATTGTCCACCATACATCTGAAAAAGAAGTATTTGGATGTGAAAAACAGTCCCAGGATACAGGTGCTAATTTCCAAACTCTTTGTGCCTTGCTACATTGCCATAAGGTATGCTCTATCGTTTCTTCTGCTTCTCCACAAGTGGGGCAAATTGGATCAACAGGAACACCCTTTTTGATGAGTTTAGTGTTAACTGGGAGAGTTCCTGTGAAGCTTTTCCATATAAAGTGTTTTATTTTACCCTTGACCTTTAGCTTCCATGTTCTATTTCTGACCTTCAAATCCTTAAAGCTGGAAGAACTGCCTTCTGGTTTGTCAAGTTCAGCAACTTTATAAAGAATAAGTTTAGAGTATGCTAAAGAAACTGAGAACAAACCTTTTTTGTTTCCAAGCCATTTCCAACTGTCTTCCATATGTGGATCAAGATTGTGGATATCCAGGATTGCTGCTACTGTGTGTTGATCAAAGAGATGATTAAGAAGGTCAGCATTCCATGTTTTCCCATCCTCCATGAGCAGGTCCTTTACCATGATACAATTGGTTTTAGCTCCATCTTTGAAATTAATTCTTTGAGAGCCCAGGGATGTAATCCATGGGTAACCTAGTATTCTGGTATTAGAGCCACTGTGCAAATCAACCATAATTAATTGATTAAATTTAGGTTTTACCTCCATCCATGAATTCCATAACCAAGATCCTCCATTCTTCTTTTTTGCATCACAGAAATCAACATTAGGAAAATATCTTTCTTTAAGCACCCTGCACATTAAAAGATCAGGCTTAGTTATTAGCTTCCATAATTGTTTCATAATCATTGCCTCATTGAAGAGCTTGATATCCTGGAACCCTAAGCCTCCCAATTTTTTTGGTAGAGCAATTTTATTCCAGCTCATCCAATGTATTCCTTTAGTTTGATCACCACCCCTGCTCCACCAAAATTGAGCACATAAAGCAGCAATTTCCTTACAAACAGAAGCAGGTAGTTTAAAGCAGCCCATAACAAAAATAGGAAGAGCATTAAGAACAGCTTTTATCAAGACTTCCTTACCTGCTGTGGAGAGAAGCTTATTTTTCCAACTATTTATTCTTCCTCTGACTGCCTCAATTACAAAAGAAAAGGCCTGAGTTTTTGATTTACCAATTCCTAGAGGCAACCCCAGGTACTTGGTAGAACTGTGCTCTGTTATATTATTGAGAATGCTGCAAATTCTGCTTCTCAACTGTTGAGGCGAATTTTTGCTGAAAAAAATAGTAGACTTTGCCCAATTTACCTTCTGCCCTGAGATTGATTGATACTTTGCCAATATGTCCATCAGCTGGAAAGCTTGATTTGTGTCTGCTTTACAAAAAACAAGAGTGTCATCTGCGAATAATAGATGGGATAATGTTGGGCCACTTTTAGAGATTTTTAATCCTTTGATTCCTCCCAAGCCATTTTCTTTGAGTATAAGTGCTGAGAAAATTTCTGCCACCATGATGAATAGATAGGGGGAAATTGGATCCCCCTGTCTAATACCACGAGAAGGCTGAATAAATCCACCAACAGTTCCATTTATCTTCAAAAGCTTTGAGCAAATCCAATTTAATAGCCATAAAAAAATTGTTACCTGACCTGTGTCTGTTTAGGAAGTGGAAGACTTCCTGTGCTATCACCACATTGTCCAACAAAGCTCTGTCAGGTATAAATGCTGCCTGGTACTCACTAATACAAGAAGACAAGCATGGCTTAAGCCTATTTGTGAGTATTTTAGAGATTGTTTTGTAAAGCACCCCACAAAGGCTTATTGGCCTGAATTTACTTAATGAATCAGGATATAGACATTTAGGTACATCAACATCATCAACATCAACATACCCAGTATATTCCCAAACAGGTTGGGGTCTGGGGGGTCAGTTATACGCAAACCTTACCCTTGTAATTATACAAGGAGGCTGTTTCCATAGCGACCCAAGGTGCGTTGCGTCGTTTGATATATTTTTTCCAGAAACTTCACTAATAGAAGAAGCACTAGAGTTTAATTGAGCCATTTTGATCTAGTCCATTATTTGCATGATGCCAAAAGAATTGTCAACATTGACTCTTCCAGCTCCATTTGCAATGGACTCGATATATACATTTAGGTATTAGAGAAATAATAGTATGACTCCAGTATTTGAGCATTCTTCCTGATTTAAAATAGCTTTTTATTGCTTCACAAATATCCTCTTTGAGAATAGGCCAAAAATGTTGAAAAAAGATACCTGTCATGCCATCCTCACCGGGTGCTTTTTCGGGGTGCAAGCTGAATAAGGCTTCAGTAATCTCCTTATCATCTACCTCTGCTATCAGCTCCTGATTTTGCTGGTTAGTGATTGATTGTGGAATGTAATGTAGGATCTCCACATTGCCTGCTGGTCCCTCTGATGAGTATAATTTTTCATAGAATCTGCAGACACAATTTTGAATGTTGTGATGATCTTCAAAAAGATTACAATTCTCATCTAACAGTCTTGTAATGGCATTTAGTCGTCTTCTCTGGGCTGTGAGAGCATGAAAGAATTTTGAGTTTTTATCACCAGCTTTTAACCACAGTAATCTTGATTTTTGCTTCCAAATTGTTACTTACAAACTGCTAGTCAAATTTGATATTACAAGATAAAACCTATTATCCATTATCCGCCGTAGGCCAATATCCAAACAATGTCTATATATTTTCCAGTAATCTGATTCATAATCTTCTGTCAGATTTGAGTCCGCCATGGAGCAGCCGAGGGACAAGATATGGAACATCACGACACGAATACCTCACAGATAGGCGGGGAGAATATATCTTCACCATGTACGTGCACTTCCTTCCCATGCCTCTCAGCCTTCCTTGTTGCAAAATATAAAGCTGGTGAATGTGGATGTCATTATATCAATGACTGTAATTACTGCTTTCCTTCACAAGTCCAAAGGTTTATAATGGAAGCTTGCTATGACAGAATTTGAAAGAGAAAATACTCGAGTTAATGTGAGATATGTACACTTTTATCAGAATTTATCATCATCAACATACTCAGTATATTCCCAAACAGGTTGGGGTCTGGAGGGTCAGTTGTACGCAGACCTTACCCTTGTAAATTACAAGGAGGCTGTTTCCATAGCGACCCAAGGTGCGTTGCGTCGTTTGATATATTTTTTCTAGAAACTTCACTAATAGAAGAAGCACTAGAATTTAATTGAGCCATTTTGATCTAGTCCATTATTTGCACGATGCCAGAAGAATTGTCAACATTGACTCTTCCAGCTCCATTTGCAATGGACTCTTTTATCAGAATTTATCAAGAGGCAAATTTTTGTTTCTTTGCAATTTCTACTCTGAAACATATTGTCTATGCTTCATAACCAACTAGCACATGTAGCATCTCATGTTGCTATATTTCCCAATTGTCAATTTGGAAAGGCCCCCGCTATAAGCCTAATTGTCATACCATATAGAATTTCAGCATAACTGCCAGTTTTGCAAACTTATACACAATGTTACATTTTTCTTAATTAATCTTATCCAAACGATCCACAACGTTAACCAGGTACGATTTTGCAAAATCGACACAAGTTCATAAACCAGAAACCGACAGTCATCAAAGCAAGCATCATAGTCATGAAATAATGTCACAAGACAAAGCACATTAACTTTCTTTCCCTTTCTCTTTTGCTCCAAATTTTATTTTTTATTTTATTTTTATTTTTATTTTTATTTTATTTTATTTCTTTTTATTTTATTTTTTTTTATTTTTTATTTTTTATTTTTTTTTATTTTATTTTTTTTATTTTTTTTATTTATTTATTTTTTTATTATTATTATTATTATTATTATTATTATTATTTTTATTTATTTATTTATTTATTTTACTACTGTTTCTATTGAGTTTCATCTCTAGCCTACCCCAACTTGTTTGGGACTAAAAGGCTTTGTTGTTGTTGTTGTTGTTGTTGCCGCCTCGGGCGATCGATAACCAGGTCCCAATCTTTCGGTGTAATCTAAAATCAATGTATTGTTACCTTTTATTAGCTCCTTCACTGTGAATCCGAGGATAGAAGATTCTGGCTCGGCTATTTGAAGATCTGAAAAATGTACGATCTATTTAAGGTTCATCGGCCACCAATGAAATATCAAATTTACAAGAACACACAAATTAACAAAAAATAATGACAAAATAATTCAGAAAGAAAAGAGAGAGGAAGAAGTAGAACCAGAGGCCGATTGTTATCGGGCAGCAAAGTGCATGCTTTCAGCAAATCGAGTCGAAAATGACTAGGGAATGATAAAATTAGGTCTTATTTATAGTAAAATTCGTCGTCTTTGAATCTTTCAAGTAGCGGCAGCTGCATCTCAAATGAACAATTTAAAAATATATAAAATAAAAGATGTTTTTCAACTCTAAAATTATATAGCTTGATAAACAAAACAAATATTATACCTTGGATATATAGTTAACAGGACTAGATTTTGAAACAAGAAGATACAATGACATGTTTAGACCCAAAACTGATTATTCTTGCTGTATATAAAGCATTTTCTGACATTGTAAATTAAGAAACTAAAGGTGTCACACTTAACTGTAAAATCTTGCATTGCATCAACAAAACCTTAGGAGGCAATAAACTTTGAGAAAAAAACGAGGAACACCCGAATCAAGTTTGGTTAAATTATCAACCTGATAATTTAAATAGTTGAAAAACATTCCAACTTTCACTTCACATCCCAACATTCGTGAGTTTCCATCTCCTCCACCTGAAAATTGTGCAATGGAAAAGTGTTTTTGCACTGTAATATAAATAAACTCGAGCAGATTGAAGAATCGACTGTGCAAAGTCGACAGGAACTGGCAAACCAGGCATTTTTTAAAACTTTCCCCCCCACGTATTAACTTCCGATAAGACTGCACACATACGAACTTTCTTTTGATTTTATTCAAGTAAAATACAAGCCATACAACAGAGTATAATGACTAGTCTAGAACAGAAGGGCCAAAAGGAAAGGAAAAAAAAGAAAATTAAAAAAACCGGATACCTTATCCACCTTCAACCGGAAGAAGCATTAGTCTTACACTAGCAACATAACGCAATCTCCAAAGACACAATCATCACCTGAATACTTAAGAACTAACATTTTGTGTTGATCATCCATCAGATAGAACCAAGCTTAATCCACATGAACATGAGCTTGCATTCTACAAATTGTCGATAAAACTAATGGATTCCCTCGAACTACTGGATTTTTGATAATCCGCCATGCAAAATTTGTGAAGGATGCCGGTCATGGCGGCGCCATGGCAAAATTTTGGCGAACCGCCATCCGCCATTAATAACACTGCTATTTTCACACAATCATGACGACCTGGTTCAACTTATCCAAGATTTTCGCTATATTGAAAGCCGAAAAAATGAGACAGACAATGAAAAGCTCATATAATCATGAAATCACGGATCATCGGATAAAAACATATCATTTCCTTTTTATTTATTGTTGTGGATGATGATCATGTCAGATTCATTAAAACACACCAAAATATCAAACAACGTTGATATGTTGATTCACAGAGTTATCTTATTAGATCGATTCACTTACTCTTTAAAGTCTTAATTACTCATTTACCCTTTCAGCAAATCTGGAGATCAAGGATTTTTAATGGGCTATTTAAGGGCTGAAAACATACAATTTATTTATCTCGCCACAAAAGAAGAACTAAATTTTGACAGAACATATAACATACAACAATGACAAAATAATTATCAAATTTCAACAAAAGGATTAACCTAAATCTGGCAGGCACAGATCGGCAGCAGCAAAAGCTTTGGCGACAGACAGCAACAGCTAGGTCAAGATGTAATGGGGCTACTTATAGTACCATTTGTGACGTAGGTTAATAGCTTTATTGCCAATATTTTTCCAGGTCGCCACTATCAGGTTGTCCGATAGTAGCAATCTAGAAGGCTGTTAGTGATGGCACAATCGAACCATGTACTTGTAGATATTTACTTTGTATAAAAATAAAATGTACTTATAAAGTAAGACTGAACATAACACTTGGGAGTTTTTCAATCAATTTTTCTGCTACTTGCTAGTAAATGAGCGGCTACTAATTCAACAAGGGTGGGTACAAATGCCACTAAAACTTGAGCAACACTGAATATAACACTTGGGAGTTTATGAATCATCATCAAGTTACATACCCGATATTTTCATCGTGTCACAACCGCAAGAAACATAAGCAAGTCGAAATATTTATACAGAACTTGAGGAACATTAAGTTGTCGAAATCAGACATCAGTACTTACTACATAATAAGATCTCAAGCCAATCACTCAGCAATCCGGAAGGAAATCAAGCTGACATACATCGGATCCTCGCTCAAACAAGGAAATTCTCTTAAGCGCTTGGAATTTCGTTTTCAGATCAATACGTACATAAAATAGTTTCATCCTCTCCAATACTCGGGAATTCTTCAAAAGATATTTCACCATATCAAATTCGTGCTCTTCGGACTGCATCCCCGAAATTGTTATAGTTCTTAGGCGGGATAATAGACATTTAGGTACTTGTTCTGGCTCCGGACACAAATATCCCCTTTCATGATAATCCTGCTGACACTAAAAGGAGCATAACAAAATGAGTAAAACAAAAGAAGGAGCTATTGCTATAAGAAAAGCGAGAAACAGCTACAGACAAATTTAATTGCACCAACGATAAAAGCCACTTACAATAAGGACTTCAAGATTATCAGCAACTTCAAGGAACTTTACAAGCAAACTCCATTTGAAGTCCAATTGGAGTTCAAGTTTAATTAAATTATCAAACTTTACATCTGAAAAAGCAACTCCTCCATGAACAAACTGAAACAATTAACACCACATTACGCATATATATAACAAAGCCGAAAACTAACTGACAGGAGGCCTAAGAGATTGAAGAATAAAAACATACCTCCTCAAATTCCCAACCTGATATTGTTAGGCACTTTACATAGCACAGAGAATGAAGAAACTTCACCAACTTGGAATTGTAACTGTGTAAGTAGATATCCGCCTCGACTAAGGAGACCATGGTTTTAGGAACTATTATACACTCCAAGTCACAGCCATAAACTTGGAGATACCTAAGTGTCGGGGCATTGATTATCATCATCCTATATTTAAGGTCAGATGGACAACAAGTCAAATCGTCAAGATCGAGCTTTAGCGTCTTTATTGTGGGTGATGATATATTTATGCAGCCCACATAATCATTTTCTTCCACATATGTGAATCCCATATCCAACTCCTCAAGGGACGGACAGCCGGAAAGAAAGTGAGAGAGGGCTTCATCATTCTCGCACACAACATAAAAAACATGAAACTTCTTGAGGCTAGGCAAAGAGACATTGTCCACATGAAAGAATGACACTCTATTGATATCAAGCTTCAAGTCAACAATGGTTTTGCAGTTGAAGAGGTATTGAAGGGATGTATCCAAGTTACGTTCAAGATAAAGATTACGGATACCACGGTCGATGGCAGTTGTAATCAATGTCTCCAGTTGATACTCGTTGCATTGGATGCAATCGAGTTTTAATGTATTCATTCGATTTGCCTTGTGCCGCAATATAACCCTATGGATGATGTCTGAGGTTTTTGTTCGTTTCCTAAAATCGTCCCAGTTGAAGTCCAAACAGGGTACATGGGTCCATAGAAACCTCCATCTTTTTCCGAGAACGCTGGTCGCCACTGAGAGCTTTGTCCGGAGAAAAGAGAGAATGTGACATAGGACGACATCCGGCAAGTTGCTGAGCCTATCGATCGAGGCCATGTTTTGCTCTCCATCCAAAAGCTTTGGGCGCTTTCCACTTGGTTGTCTGGTTTCCTCCATGTATATTCTGACAAAAGGCACCTGATTCTTATAACTGAAAACAAAAAAGGCAGTGGCATATAGAGGGTACCAGGATTTAGACTAATTCTGATGATGAGACAAATATGAAATAAGGTTGAGAAATAAAGTTAACAGTAGAGCATTTATATAGCAACTAATGTAGCTAAGAAGTCAAAAAGGGCAAGGGAGAAACCTGAAACCTCAGGTCTAAGCACAGAGACTCTTGCAACTCCTATCGACACATGCTACCGACATTACAACACAAACAAAAACTAAGACAACACAACACAAACGCAAACTAAACAGGAACTACCGGACCCCGGGAATAAGACTCGATATTTGGAACCGAAATATGAGCAGACAATTAAGGGTAAGCCAAAACACATTTCTAAAAAATTGGTGTGGACAGTTCTGATCAAACATCACCATCTTCAAACTGAAAAACTTCATCTTCACAAAGCAATATTTCCCTCTGATGTGAAAAGAATAAATAAAAGAGTCCTACAACACTAAAAGAATTTAAAGAATAAGATGAACAAAGTAATCCATATGAACTGTGCCCTCCCTCTCATCCAAAGCTCAGACACCAATCCGGTAAGGAAGTTCCTAAGAACTCGACTACAAATACACTCAAATTTCATCATACACCTCCTAAAATAGCTAAAATTCAGCAATGTAAGAGAAACCCCTGTACCTTCCTTAAGCTTCCAACCTAGTTTACATGAACCATTCTTTATTTTATTAAAAGTATGTAGTAATTACCTTTAAAATCTGTTAGTGGAGTTGGAGGCGAGGCGAGGCGAGGTGAGGCGTGGAGACGGTGTCGTGAAGGCAGTGTCGGAGGCGACTCACCGTCTCAGGCCAGGCGCGGAGATGTCCCAGGCGAGGAGGAGGTTTTGAGATGGAGAAATGAAACCAATATTTTTAACAAGGAAATAAATACCTCCGTAAAGTTGCCGATATTTGAGAAATAATTTTTTCTTGGCATAAATTCCGCCGCTAAATTCATGTGCAATTTAGCCGCTAAATTCCGCTATAGCTATAGTGCCATAAATGTTTTAAACCGCTATTTAAAACTTTGATTTTTAGTATTAAAATATTAAAAAAATTGAATTGTTATATAACAATAACACATATAAAAATATATAAATATAAGACGAAGAGGGTTTAGCGGAGTGTGTAACCCAGATCTCGAGTTGGAGTCATTGGAGGAGAATTGGGAAATCAGTAATAATCCTCTTTTCTGTGTGAGTGTGTAAAAAAAATATATATATATATATATATATATATATATAATGCTATATTATTTTAAAAAAAACACTACATAAAGTATTATATAACACGTTTACAAATATCTAAAATGTTCTATTGTTTTGAAAAAAAAAAATGTGAGAAATCACCTAAAATGTTTTGCAATATTCATGAAAAATATGTCTCGAAACACCTAAATTAAATTAAATTGTTCTATGATAACATACTAAAATATTTTATATACATCGTGTAATACAACTCATTAAATTAGATGTTATAAGTGGGCCGGAGCGAGGTAGAATTTGTTACCCAAACCTGAAGGGTAAGAAGACTTAGTCAACTCGACTCACTTCTTCGCCGGTGCAGGTTCAATTGGTCCAGACTGAGACTATATCAGGATGGTTTAATTGTGATTTATTTTTATCACTTATTTTTTAGTTTTGTTACTCAGTTTAATTTTTATTTATTTATGTATGATTTGATTTTTAATGTTCTATTTTAAAAATAAAAAATAAAAATCTATAGTAAACATGTAAAATGACTTTTTTTTTTTTTATGACCGTTTACATTTGCAATGAATTTTTTTTAGTTTCAATTGTTTAGATTGAGCTTGTTTATTTAGTGTATATAATTGTTTGGTTTGAACTCGTTGAGCCTACCTGTATATGCACTCGATGTTATTAGTAAAAACAAGATTTGAAGATTTATTTTGATTTCTTATGTAAAAGAAATAGTTATATTTATTTTCGTTCAATATGAAATATACAATTACTTTGCTATTATTTTTTTTACTTTTTATTTTTGCCATGTCAAATTTTGTTATTTTGCTATTATTTTTAAGAAAACATATAATAAAATTACTCATTATTTAAAAATAAAGAAGAGTAATTCTACATTGCCAACCTAGTGTACAACTAGGTTGACAACACAAGTAAAAAACATACATAAAAATAAAAATAAAAACTAACAAAGTGGATGTTTCCACTTGTGTTGTCAAACTAGTTGTAAGACTTTTGACTCTATTTCTTGGGCTTTTGACCTCCGCAAGGCTTTTGACTCTATTTCTTGGGCTTTCTTAAAGCAAGTCCTCCATGGACTTCAATTCCCGGAGAAATTCATTAATTGGATCATGGAGTGTGTCACCACTACCTCATACTCAATCTCGATAAACGGATCGTTATGTGGCCACTTCAAGGGAGCTAAGGGATTGAGACAAGGTGACCCGCTCTCGCCTTATCTCTTTGTCATTTGTTTGGAGTACCTCTCGAGGCTCATGAATAGGAGCACGGCAAGTGGAACGGGCTTCAACTATCACCCGAAATGTGAGTTTCTTAAAATCACCCACCTAGCCTTCGCGGATGACTTGATGCTTCTCTCGCGGGGCGACCCCCGGTCTATACAAATACTAATGGATTGCTTAAGGGATTTTGGAGCAAAATCGGGTTTGGAAATGAATGTCCAAAAATCCAACATCTATATGGCGGGAGTAGGCCAATTGGAGCATTCGGAGATTCTTCGTGACACCAACCTCCGACCGGGTTCTATGCCTTTCCGATACCTTGGCATCCCCCTCACGGCGGAACGAGTCACGGTTGGGCAATTTGAACCACTCATAAATCAAATTTCGGAACATATCAATGCTTGGAATGCCTCGTCCCTATCATATGCGGGGAGAGTCGAGCTCATAAGATCAATCCTTCAAGGAGTCGAATGCTTTTGGATGTCCATCTTCCCCCTTCCGTCGACCGTTCGCACTTTTATCACACAACGTTGCCGACGCTTCCTTTGGGGATCAAAGATGGCACCCGTAGCTTGGCATACCGTCACCCTTCCACGTTCGGAGGGAGGCTTAGGCCTCCGAGAGCATGGAACCAAGCCTTATTGGCCCGAGTGCTTTGGAATATTCATGCGAAAAATGACACATTATGGTACCGATGGATACACCATGTTTACTTAAGGCAAAAGAATATTTGGGAATGGAACATCCACAAAGAGGACTCGCCCCTCTTCAAAAACCTCTACGATATCCGAAACTTAATGGTGGAGAAGCTTGGAAGCACACAAGCCGCGGGGGATACCCTCGCCCTTTGGGACTCTAATAGCCACTCAAAAGGACCCTCACCCGTGTACGAGTTCTTTCGGACACAAGGAACACCCGTCCCTTGGAAAGGAGTGGTTTGGGGACCCGCCAATACCCCCAAGCATGCCTTAATTCTATGGCTAGCAACGCTTGGGAGGCTCCGAACCAATGATAGACTTGGATTCTTAGACATTGACCATACTTGTGTTTTATGTGGGGATCATAGACCATCTCTTTTTCACTTGCCCACTATCGGCCCAAGTTTGGCTTGCTATCCGGCGTTGGCTCGGATTGAGAAGGCAACTCTCCACATTAAAGAGTGCTTTGAAGTGGATCAAGAAGGAATCCCAAGGCTCCGGTTGGAGAACAAAAGCAACCAAGGTCGGGTTAGCATCTATGACATGCGTCATATTTACGTGCATTCTATAGTGATTTTCGTGTTCGTTTTGTCATAGTTTGATACATAATTGGTTAATTATTTAATTAATTATTTTATAATTAATTATTTGTTTAATTAATTTTATTAAGCTATGATGAGGTGTTCTATTTTAGTTTTGGCAGGAAATGGGGTCGAATTATTTTTGGAGTCGAAAACGGAATGAAACAGACATAAAAAGAGTGCGAGCCATGCATTTGGACAAGCCCAACTACACATCCACAAGAATGATATGAAAGACCACTTTATTACTCTGCTGGGCCGAAAAGAAAAGAGCCTAACAAAGCCCATATGAATTTCTTGTAGTCCATTAAAATCTAGCCCAAAATCCATTTAAATGAGAGGCATTATGGTCATTTGAGGAAAAAAGAAAAGTTGTTTTCTTCCTCACGAAGAGAAGAAGTACGCTGCTGCCATTTTTTAGTTTGAAGGACCTCTCGCCATGGTTTGTTGTTCGTCCGCCAAGACGCCGACCGGAGCTCTGAAGGACCAGAAGGATAGAAGCCGACATACCGCAGTCTTTGTCACCGAAGAATCCGCCTGGAAACTCACGTGTCTGTGCCGGGGAAAATGCAGGCCGCGGAAGTTGGCCGGAGCTCGCCGGCGCACCACCTGGACGCCATGTACGACCACCAGGAGTCGAATAAGACGCCGGAAACTCGACCAGGAGCATATTTACGAGCTAAAAGTGAAGATTTGGAGGAGTTTCAGCTCCCAGACTCACACGGGTCGTGTGAGCTTGAGACACGACTCGTGTCGCTCGAAACGGCTCCGAAACCTGCTCTCGACTTTTTCACACGACTCGTGTGGTTAGTGACACGAGTCGTGTGACCCTGGGCGCGACCAATACGCGTTTTGCGCGTTTTTCCTATTTTTTCGGTATTTTCGACCTATTTCGACTAGGACTCGACCTCAACTATTTAAGGAACACTTGGACACGTTTTTGAGGAGTCGAGGACCTAATTTTCAGATCTTTGGAGACTTTTGGAGGCGAGAAACACGAGCAAGACGAGGGAGAAAGCCCGGAAAGAAAGGATCGACGGAGCCGAATAAGCTTTTTCTTTCTTTTTCTTTTCTTCTTTCGAACTCAATGTTTTATATTTATTTTGAAAGCATGTTTCTAGGCTAATTTATTTTGCATTCTAGGATTTGTTAGTACTCGGATTGATTTATGATTTAGTTTTTATTTATTTCATTCCGGTTTATCTTTCGTTTATAAATTTCTTGTGCTTA